CCCCGCCCGCCGCCGTCATCTGCGTGGTGCTCCTGGACCGGCTGGAAGGGGACCAGATCCGGGCTCCCCGCGAGGTGCTGCGCGAGTACCAGCGGCGGCCCCAGCGCCTGGCCGCGGCCTTCATCCGGAGGCGCCTGGGGCTGCGCCGCCCGGCAGGAAACGCGCTCCTCTGCAGCCGCTGATGGCGCCGTGATGGGTTTGTGTCCCGACGCTGCCAGCGTTGGCTCCACATGCCCCAGGAGTTGCGGGTGTGCAGGACCTGCCCACACCAGCGCACCACAGCCCCTCTCTGGGGCGCAGGGAAGGCAGACTCGGTCACGGTGTGGTCCCACAGATGGGTGCCCTCCGTGGCCAAGCTGGGCCCAGCAAACCCCGCTGTGCTGGAGCATCCAATCTCCAATATGGCTTTATTTGAATTGCACCAATGCACTTATGCACCCAGGAGAGCTCGGACAAGATGCGCTCAGAAATTAAGACTGTGTTGGCTCACTCCTGTCTCCAGCGGCGGTGGAGGACTGTCCATTAGGGTCATGGAATGGTATCAGTTAGAAAAGACTTTCATGGTCATGGAGTCCAGCCATCGATCCAGCCCTAAGTCCACCACTGGACTGTGTCCCTAAGCACAACACCTCTATAAACCCCTCCAGGGATGGGGACTCCACCACCTCCCTGGGCAGCCCCTTCCCGTGCCTGACAGTCCTTACAAATTCCCAATACCCAACCTAAACCTCCTCTGGCACAACTTGGGGTTGCTCTGGTCCACAGTGATCCTCCAGAACAAAGAACCCTTTGCACATGGCATAAAGCCAAAACCTAAGTAAATGCCATGCAAATTTAATCCACATTTGTGACGGTTACTGTTATTCCTTGCTGTTACTAAAGCCGTTCAGACTTTCATTCATACAATATTTAGAGATCTGTCGTGTACCGGCGTGTTTGAACACAGGTCAGTGTGTGGGATGCCCACCTTGCACTGCATCCCTGGCCGGGCAGGAGCAGCTTCGCCCCCACTGCATGGCCGGCAGCTTTGGACGTGGGGCACAAGAGGACCCCAAAAGAGAGACAGGGAGCAGACATTGCTGACACTCCCTTGACCTGATTGCACATAACCACCAGGGACAGCATCTTTCATGTGAATCTGGTCATCACCACACATCAACCATGGAGAAAATCACCTCCAAGAGCCTTTCCAAGCTGTAGAGACCGAACTGCGCCTGGGGGAGCACAGGGGTTTTCACTGAGAGTCACCTGAACAACGTCCCACCGAAATCACTCCCAGGTCTCGAGGTTCACTAGCAAGGTTGCTTCCAGAGGAGCTGTGACACCTTTGAACAGTGACTCACAGGGTTTAAGAGCTATGGTCAACAGAATTTTAACATGGCAGGAAACATAGAAGAGGATCGTAAAATATTCACGATATTAAGAGCACAAAACATGTAAGAGTGAAGATACTTACAGACATGCCAAGGGGCTACCCCCAGGTACTCGTCCCGGTCAGCATCCTAAAATCCGCTTCATCAGCCACCTCTGGCCCCTCTGGTCCTGGGAACATCTCCACATGCTCAGGTGCAGCTCGATTTGCCCCCAGATGTGCGGTCTCTGCTGGGGTCCCTCTGGTCCCCCCTGCCACCTCCCCTCCAAGAGCTCCCTTTATGGGGAGCAGGGCCACCTGAGTGCTTCCCTGCCGCTGGGACCCCACTCTTGTGGTCCCCCAGCTGCTCCCACACCCAGCACTTTGATCCAGACACATTTGTTTTGCTGCCACGAAAAAGCAAGCTCTACGTTTTACAAACAGAGGAGGTTGGTTCCCAGTTTCCATTTTGAGATTGCAGTTTTTAGGCTCAAATATTAACCCGACGGGGGAGGAACCTCAGGACAGGAGCCAGTGTCCTCTGGGATGGAAACAAAATCCCTGCGGTCACCTAACACACAACCCAACCTCCCATTGAAACCCAGTTCAGTCCAGAGTCCTCTCAAACCTCTACACAACTCACAGTGTACTTAAACCCTTTGTGAAAATACCATAAAACCACTCCAGGAATAGAAACACAGAACTTCACCATTCTGCCTCATTGGGCAGGCGAGGTTTGCTCAGCTGCAGGTTACAGGAGCTCAGCCCCTGGCTTTGCAGGAGATCGTGGACTCTGTTCTGGAGCACTGCCTGGGGAGCACACTCCCATTTTCCTTGTTTTGCTCTCAGCTCAATGGTTATGGTGTTGAGTGTTGTTTCTGCTGCAGCTCTAAGTCTGACACAAACTGTAAGTGCTTCGCAGCAGCTGGACACGGCTGATCCTGCACCAGCCATGCACTCGACCTTCAGGCGCTGTTTAACTTTTACACCTCTTTTCCGACTACCAAAATCCACAGATAAGTCGTATATCTTGAAACCAAATAGCTTAATTTTCACAAAGAAGTGTTCCTCAGGCTTAAAAAAAATCATGCATTGGCATAAAGCACAGCTGAATGCTGAACTGTCACCTCGCTGAGTCCAAACAGCAAAGCAGGGCTGCAGGAGATGCTGGTTGAGAAGCCTATTTCACATCAACACCTTCTAAATTACTGGGTTTGTGCGCGAGTAATTTCACACGTCTGTACAAAAATAACTTGCAAAGTTTCATTAAGAAATAAATACAAGCATTTCTCATTAAAACAAATGTCCTTATGAGTACATCTCTTGCTGAAGGGTTTTGATCATCTGTTGTGAACAGTGTGAAGGTGAGGATGGTGAAGGAAGGTGAAACACCAGGGGAGTGTGGCCTCTGGCTGTGCAGAGCAAAACACCTGGTGGCTGTTTAACGGACCTGTGTTCTCCATGCTGCCACATGGAAACCCCTCCAAAATGCCCCCTCTGGCCTCTCTGTATCCACAACAGGCCCGGCCGTGGCTGCTGCGGGCTCTTCGGTGCAAGCAGACCTGTACTCTGTTCCCTGGGACACAGCAGATGTGAAGGCAACCACGAGACACTGCCCAAAAATCAGTGCTCTCTATTTCAAAACCAAATATCTGCTTCATCTGAACTTCCTGTTCTTGTCGACGTCGTGGTGTCTGTAAAAGATGACAACTACAACCTGGAAAGGATTTGCAGCGCTGAAATGATCTGTAGATCTGCTTTTAAAGGCAAGGAAAACAACAACAGCTGCCTTGATTTTGGGATATTCTGTTCCTGGGAAGCAGCCTGGCAGCCCGTCTGGTCCCAGAAAGAGAGGCAAAGCCCTGCCCTGCAGGGGCACCCAACAGGCTGCCAAGTGCTGTCTAAAAATAACGAGCTGCCCCAAACGAGACACCAAAATAACGTGCACAAATACAGGATCGTAATTTTAGCACAAACACACAAATCTCAGCCCAGAAGACACTCAGCTCCCACAGCTTTTGGGCAGCACTGAAACAACTCCCCACGGCTTTTGGGCAGCACTGAAACAACTCCCCTTCAGCACTGGGATGATGCTGGTCCTACCCCTCGCTATGTAAGGCTGGAAAACACCATCAGTTACAGAATGAAAGGACAGCGACTTCATTTAACAGCATCTTACTCAGTAGTTTCAGCTCCGAAATAAAGATCCCAGATCTGAAATGTTATTTCTAATTTATAATTTATACCAAAAGACTGATCTGCGATATGAAATTGCATGCCTGGCTTGCAGCAAATACGATGTAGCGAATTGGTTTCTAAATACAGACAGAGGTCAAGTTCCTTCTTATAACAGTCAAGGAATGACAGAGACATTCATGATAATGAAGATTTTTATAATTAAAATAATCAAATTCTCAAGAAACCTGAAAGTTGTGGCATGTATTTACATATAATACAACCTAAGGTGATATTCTGGAAAGCTATTTTGGGTTTATGGTGCCAATTAACAACCAGCGTTCCCGCTGAAGATGCTACCTATGAGGTTGGGCTGTGGTGTCTGTGGGGTCCTTTCACGGGGAGGGGTCCCCCTGCCCAGCAAAGGAAGAGACAAGAGCCCACCCCAACCCTCTGTGACCCCTCATGGGACAGTTGTAGAAGAGCCCAGCAGTTTGTTAGTGACTGCAGGCGCTGAGAATGGAGCAGTGCGGTGGCACAGCCTAAGGGTAATTTATTTCAGCTTTCCACATACAGGGCAGACAATACCCGAAGCCTCCTTGCTGCTGCTCCGAGAGGCTCTACATCCTCAGCGCCGTGGACTCCATGTCTCTTCTCGGGAGCTTCGGCGGAGGGATCATTGGTAAAATCTCTTTTGCATAGCGGCTCTTGTGAAGCCCAGCTTCCCGAAGGGCCAACTCAACACGAAGTCTGGGGTCAGAGACGATCTGTCACAAGAAACCACGCATTGATAAATAGAAGCAGAACCATGCCTTCCTCATGCACAGTGTGTCTTAGGTTACCTGTGGATGTATTTATTTTTACAGTTTTAAAACACACTCAAGAAATTATGTTCATAAGATGAAGCCTTCAAAAGCAGAGAAACTCTACGGTGAGCAAGCCTTATCTCACTGCACATGTCTTGGTATTATCCATTTTAATACTAATGAACACAAGCTGTTTTAGCAGAGAGCCCTGGTTGCTGTTCCTCAGCCAAACCCCAAGTGCAGATGAGGAATGGGGTGACTCGATTCGGCCTCCTCACCGCAGAGCTGCAGGCTTCTGATTTCCCATCCGCACAGCCCTGCTTGGGCACTGGCTTCTCATCCCCTCCCTTTGCTTCTGTGGAATCTGGAGGCTTCAAACGCGTTCAGTGGCAGCACCACTGCCATTTTACACAACAACCACCACCAATGCCCGAGGAAATCACTTCTAAAATCTGTCAGAAGGTTACGTGACAAGATTTGCAATCCTCATTCAAAGCCTTCTTCCATGGACTGCCATGGGGGAGCACTCAAAGTACAAGAGAGAGAGTCCCATTGCCTTCAGTTCCAGCATCAGCTGCCACCAGGTTTGGGTAAATTTTAATGGACAAAAAAACCCCTACATCTCTTGTACCACGTCTCTCCTTTACCAAAGTGAGGAGCTTTAAAATGGAAAGCACTGGACAAGCTTAGTTATAGACGTCGTTAAATTTAGGCTTATTCAGTGCTAAAAGAAAGCTCTTACGCCATAGAATTATATCACAGCACTTCCCTTGCTGCAGACATAATTTCCGAATTCCGGAGTGGGAATAATTTCAAATGCAAAGCCTGAGCAGATGGGGAGCAGTGAGGGAATCCAAAATTCCTTCCCATATTGCTCAGTTCTATGTGAAACGGAGCTGGCGCTGTCCTCAGCAACCCCAGCGACCCAGCAACAGGAGCATCGTCACCGCAGACCCCACTTCCTCCACATCTCACTGGTTTCTCCTCCCTCAGCCCTTGTGTGCCACATCCCAACCGATCTTCAATCCAGCAACAGTGTGGAGACAGTCAGGTACTCGTTTTCAGCTTCAGAAGAGATTTGTGCTGTGCATCATCTCCCAAGAAAACAGGGCACCCCAAAATTCAGTCACTGTGCCACAGCTTTGTACACGGTCAGGACTTTTCTGAACCCACCTCAGGTACTCAGTGCAGCACCAGGTGAAAGGAGGCACTCAAATAAACGCATACACATGTAAAGGAGTGAGTTTTGAAATGAAAAAGCAGCACACAGAGCAGTCAAACGCCTCACAAATGCAGGGTCTGCCCAGTGGCCCACCCAGCCCAGTGTCCTCTCTGCGGTGGCAATGGACGCTGTGCAGGGAGAGCCCAGGAGTCCCTCGCTGGACTCAGACCTGCGAGGTCCACTCCTGTGCTCCCCCAGCATCTACCCACCCATTGCTCCTCATGGTCTTGTGTGTATACATGTTAGAATCTATATTCTACTGTTAATTCTGCCATTCAGGACACATTAATATTACTATCATGTATTGCTAATAAGATATATGTGCATACAATAAGCTACATGATAAGTTTTCAGACCATTACCTGCTGCTCATTGTACGTGTGCAACTTAAACAGGGGCTTCAGGAGATCGAACTCCTTCTTGGCTCCAATGCCCATCCGAGCTTTGGACGCCACCGTATCGGCCACTACTCTGGCTGGGTCCGACCTCGCAACAACGGCAACCTAAAACATACAATACATAAATAACTATTATTCCATCTATATGGAGCTAAGGTGAGCAAAGGTTATTATCCATAACACATCCTTTGAGAACACAATCATTTATCTGGCTTAACAATGTCAAAAGTTGTCTTGAACCACATATAAACCCATATATAAAAGTTGTAAAGCTTAGAACCTGATTCCAGAGTAAAACCACACTGATGCATTATAGCAACTGGGGGATTTTTCCCTGCTTCCCAGCAGAGACAATTGTAATTGCCTGGATTTACGCAGCACCATCCATGTCCAGGAGGCCGTGGGGTGGGCACTGCTCAGTGCTGAATAACCCACACACTGTGCATGGTGACCATCAGCCCCAAAAACATCGACCCAAGAGATGTTCGGATCCATACAGCACAATTCCTGCAGTCAGGGGCATAACCCGAGTGATGCACCACAAGTAACGTAGCTCTTTGGTTTATTTGTAAGCGCATCTGCTTTAACTGCTCAATTTCCTGCAGCTCGATCAGGATCAAAGGCTCTCTCAGACACCACGTCTTGTGCAAGAGTCTGTTTCCATGGCTGATATTGTGTTCAAATATTGGAAAATACAGAAAGATGTATGACCCAAAATAATCAAATCAAAGTCAGGACACCATCTGAGTGGCTAAAACCAGACAAAATATTTTAAATTGTGTATGGAATCTGTTTTCCACATCTCTTTAATATAATGTCATATTTGTATTTACAGGCTGTCAAAATACACAGACTGGATGACTTCAGTAAAGATCTTTTTCCCCCCACGTATTTTATGAATACATATTTTATGAAGCAGTATTTCATTAATGTGAAACAGAGAATAAATATGGGTAAGGAAAACGTGACGAAGTGAGGAGGCTACCACCCTGGTCATGGCCCTTCTAGGAGCATTTCTGCTTTGGGAACAGAGCGGGGTCAGTCAGGACATTGATGGATCACGACCCAACCTGGCTCCTGTCAGGTCTGACACGAAGGAAAACGCAATTCAACCAGGAACTTGGAAAATATGCAATAGATTTATAATTAAAATTGCATTGGTGACCTAAAATAACACTGTTAATACTGCTAAATATTTACCTGAACCACATTATTAAAAACAAAGCATTACTGACTGGAAATGAGCCTAAGCTCAACAGTGCAAAGAATGGCAGAGATAACAGATAAGGGCCCCTCAGGTTCGCTGGTCCCTGCTGTGCTCAGCTCTCCACGAGGGGAACTCGGCCTCTGCTGTGTTTTTGTCTCTGCTTGACCCCGTAACACCCCAGTGCTGCAGGGAAAACACTTCTAAGGACACCAGACCCCTGGTTTCACCCTGGGCAGTCTCGGGGACAAAGCTGCTGCATTGCTGCTGAAGTTCACAGAATCACAGAATGTGAGGAGTTGGAAGGGCCCTGGAAAGCTCCCCCAGTGCAACCCCTGCCACAGCAGGAGCACCAGAGCAGTCACACAGGAACACGGCCAGGGCTTTGGGTGTCTCCACACAAGGAGACTCCACAACCTCTCTGGGCAGCCTGGGCCATGCTCCAGAACCCTCACACTCACAAACTTTGGCCTCATCTTCAGCTTGAACCTCCTGTGCTCCAGCTTGGGACCATTGCCCCTTGTCCTGGCATTGGCCATCCCAGAGCAGAGCCTGGCTCCTTCCTCCTGACACTGCCCTTTCCAAATTGGGAACCATGAATGAGGTCTGAAGTTTTCCAGATCAAAAGGGTCTGGAGCCCCTTTTCTCCCTCCACATTTTCCTTTGGCTGCAGGCTTAGGCTGCAGTTCTGGGAGTGCAAAAACATGAGTTACCCTTTTAGTATTGGGAAGAAAATCCAAGGAGATCAGATACAAAAATATAAACGAAAGTAAAGCCAGCAGTAGGAAAAATGCAACACTACCTTTACTATGACAAACATCAGCAAGCATTTTCTGGGATGTGCTTTTTAAAATAACGTGCAAAAATTTCACAGAGTTAAATAAAAGAGAAGTTAAAACAATGAAAAGTTGTCCAAGGTCTGCAAGTTTTGAGAATTTTAAAATCATTTATATACGCATTGTATACACAATAATTTAAATTACTCATGAATCCTGCCTAAGATTCAAGGCAGACTTTAAATTATTAAGAAAAAAAACACAAAACAATCCAAAACAAATCAAAAACCAAATCCCAAAAATCAAAGAAAAAGAGAAATCACATCCTACCCAGAAAAACTAGTACCTCTCTATTTTCAGACATCAACAGCTCCTGCTGCGCAATTTAACATCATAACCACAATCAATTGAGGTTGGAAGAGACCCCTAAGATGATAAAGTCCAACGTCACCCCAGCCCCACCACGGCCACCAAACCACGTCGTGGTGTCAGCGCTCCAAGGCACGCAGGGTTTGAAACAGGACAGGATCACTGCTGCAGTCACACCAGAGGTGCATTTCTCCATTTCTCTGCTGTGCTCGGTGTTCTGTTCTCTCCCAGGTAACGCGGTGGCACGGGACAGCACAGGACAGGACGTGACAGGACAGCACAGCACAGGATGGACAGGACAGCGCAGCACAGAACGGCACAGCACAGGACGGACGGGACAGGACAGCACGGGACAGGACAGCGCAGCACAGGACGGCACAGCACAGGACAGTGCAGGATGGACAGGACAGCACAGGACGGACGGGACAGGACGGGACAGGACAGCACAGGACGGACAGGACCCACCTGCTGGCACAGCGCTCGCAGGCTCTGCTCCCTTTCCTCCTTCTCCTGTGCTTCCCGAATTGCCGCTTCCCTCCTCTGCAGCATCCGCTGATCCAGGAGCTCCTGCCTGAACTTCACCCTGTAGCACAGCACAAGGGAAAACCATTACTCAAGTGTCATCTTCAACTCCTGCTAAGGGATTGCGGTCTGATGTTTTCTACGTCCACCTAACGCTACTGCTGTGGTTCATCAAAACACCTGAAAAACGCAAAAAATGCTTTTTCATTTGAATGTGTTATTTTTGTTGGAGTTTTTTGGTCTGGGGGTTTGGGAAGTTGTATTTTTTTAATTCGGTTTGGGGTTTTTTGTTTGTTTGTTTGTTTCAAACAACTTCGCTAACCTTTCAGATGTCATTTCTAGAACGCGGAACTTCTCCAGCGTGCTGTATATAGCCCTGTTACTCTTTTTTTCCCCGTTTTCTTTGCCAAGAACAAATGTTCCCTGACATCTGTGTATGGCAGCACTCTTTGCTATAACCCTTTCCATTAAAAGAAACACAGCGCTCCCGATCTCGCTACTGGAAGCAGCAAGAAAACTGGAGAATTGCATCCTTCTGCAGGAGGAAAAATCTGGAGGTGAGCGCAAATGACCCTGGAACTTTACCTACAGCTTTAGTCTCGGTTCTCAGCCTGAGGAGTTCAAAGCTGCGTTTCTGGCACTATCAGTGAGAACGCACAACAGCCCAGGTAAGGGCACCCCAACCCTGTTTTAACAGCAGGACCAGTGTCGGCAACCACCACAAAATGAACGGGAGGAGAAGAAAGCAAAAATGGAGCACAGTTTTTACTACCTTCTTTGGGTGACAAGACCTGGGCAGACCCAGGTTCTAACAGCCCCTGGGACCTTTTTAAACAGTTTCACAATTTTTCTATTAAATGTCTGTTGGATAAAAATTTCGTACGGCAGAAATCGCAGCGCAATCCCCAGACTGAACACGTTTCTGAACAGAAGCAGCAGGGCTGAAGGGTTTTGTGTTGAACTCGCGGCTCTCACCATCGTCTCCCCGGCCACATCCATGGACCCCGCTCAAACACAAACCCAGGGGCTCAGGGCACGCACCAACACCGCTGCCCCTACCCGGGAGCTTCCCCATCAGAGATGAAACGCCTGCAGTGCCAGGCAGTCACTGAGCAGAGCGGTTGTGGAGAGCGAGTCTGGATGTGAGCCACTCGAAATCCACCCAGTTTTGGGTGAGTTAATCCCGTCCTTTGATCCGGTCACAGCCCTGGCTGTTCAGCGCCTTGCAATTACAAGGTGAGACCTGAATAAGTAGAGCACCACGGTGACTCTGAGATGATACTTTTCCTTCTTATAAACCTGATTACTGAATTCTAAATTAATGCTAAAAGCCATTCAGGATAACAGCTTTTTTAATATCTTGTACCTATTAGGAACTCTGTGCACTACCCAAGCCACATCATGGAATAGTCAGTCAGCTCACGATCCAGAAATCCTTTCCCTTCCCAAAAAACCCTGAAAACATGAGGTCAGGAGACGTTCTGCGTGGGCTTGAAGTCCATTCCTGTGCTGCCCCCGGTGCAGGGATGCTCCTGGATGCCCCTCCAGTCACCACCAGCAGCACAACGCGGATTTTAAATCACATCACACCTGTAGCGCTGCAGCACCTCACAGCAGTGACATCTCTGCCCTCTTTGAGTAATGATGCTGCAGGCTTCGGAGATGGAAAGCACTAAGTAATTTCAAAGAATTATTAAGCTCCACAAACAGTAAGCATTTTTCTTTAAACTGTTTCATTCTGTACAGTACTCCAACTCTGGGAAACACAACGCTAAGCGTTTACTGACTTTTGATTCGTAATAGCCCCAAGGTGTGATTATTCCCCTCCTGCATTCCTCAACGAACCCTGCCATTTCCTTATATTTTACTCTGCAGCATTTATTAGCATAAGAAAAGCACATTCCCCAACCGCCTGGCACGGTGCAGTGCACGCGTTGAAAGAAAAGTAACTTTTTCCTGATCAGTTCTGCTGAAAACTCAGTAATTCAGGTACGTGTGCTTGGTTTGCCATGAGCTAAAACCATTGCAGGCATGTTTAAGGACAGGTATAGGTATATTTGTAGCATAAGGACACTGACATTTAAATTTAGCTGTCGGGGAGATATTGTAACTAAATGAGATGGAAGCAGCATTTCCCACATGATGCTTAAGCTTAATATTCCAACACCAATGGTACATTAACCCTATTTTAATTACATCCCAGGTCCATACACTGCGGTGGTTCCCTCTGTGTAGAATACACCTAAGGCCGTGGTTTGAGAGCAACCACAACCTGCAGACAGGACATTAATGGAACTCCCCTGCAAAGCCAAGCCTCCCTTCAGCAGGGCATGAAAGGCCGTTCTCTGCAGCAGAGGCTGGGCAAGGGCTCAAACAGGAACAGACTGGGATCCTAAATTACAGCAAGCAGGAGAGCATCCACAACGGCACGTGCGGCTGAAGACCCTCTAAAAGAATAATTCATTAATATCTTCGAGGCTGCAAGCGCTTCACGTGCTCCTCTCGAACACAGCAAACCTGATTGTAAATAATTTTGCAAAGTGGGAATGCAGAAGGCTTTATGACCCAGCTACAGTTTTAAAAATCACCCAGAGAGTGGGTTTTAAAGTGTGCACCCTATCATGATTACAGCAGCTTAGTGCTTACAAAGGTCTAAAACTTTAATGGGTATGAATTAATCCAAACTAACAAATAAACTGCACCCAGGATAAAATCATGATGCAGCCTCAGTGCATGGACTGGGGTAACTGCCAAATGGGAAATAAAAAATACTTATCTCGATTTATTCTGATTTAGAAAGCTAGGAGATCAAAGCAAGCTAGACTGTAAGAAGTTCCTATTGCTAGTGCAGGTATTCACATTGATTTCTTTTACCTTTCTCTGTCTTTAACTGCTTGCTCAGCCATTAATTTCCTTAATTCCTCCAGACGCCGCAGATCCTTCTCTTCCTGTTCTCGCCGCTTGAGCTGCTTCTCAGCCCAGTACTTCTTCACCTGCAGTTGGAACAAGTAACAAAGCAACCATCAATGCCAGGCCAAGGCGGTGAGAACACACAGAGACAGAACAGCATTAAGTTAAAGACAATCCAATGTTGATCCTTTTAGAATAAAATTTCTATTTCAGAACAGCATGGGCTATCAAAAGATGCATGGGAAGAATGAGGGGGAGTGGAGCCCTCACAACAGAAATAGTGAAATCAGACTGTGGACACCAATTTGGGTATCATTTTCAACTGCAGACTGAGAATGAGTGCTTCTGTTTGCTCCTTGCTCTCCTTCTCCACCACCAAAGCCCAGCCCCACTGCTCTGGTGATGGGCGACTCCTGGGGTGAAGGGCCTGGGTCTGCCCCACGGCTGGACCCAGCCCCAGACCCACACCAGATCCAGGGCATTGGCTGTGGGGGGAGCCAAAGAGGGGCAGGAGGAGGCACAGGAGGGTCCTTGTCCAAGTTTGGGGCTTTCCCAAAGCTGAGCGAGAAAGAAGGGCCCTGAGCAAGGTGGTAAAACCTGGGCAGGGAGGCTCATCTGGAAAGATGAATGTTTGGGAACTTCTCTGATTCCCATGAGAAGTGAGAGCATTGGTGCACTTTGAAGGGAAGAGAAGCACCTCCTGAAATGGACTTTTGCTAACTGTATGATTTAGCATAGTTTAATGGCAAGATTCTGCTCTGTCAATAATAGATGCTTCATCTTTATGATAAATTGCAGCAAAATAATAAAATCAGGAGGCCAAAGCAAGTCGAGGCTTCTTCAGCCAGAGAAGACACTGGACACGTGCAGTATCCAAAGGCTGTCGTGACCAAGACTGAATTCTCAGATAAAACGTAATACATTTGCAGTTAGGCAGCTTTGCAAGTGCTGGTTCTGGGGCCTTGTGGCAATGAGAACGGACGAGGAGGGAACAGCCCCTGCCTGGGGACAAGGAGGCCTCAGCAGCTCCAGGGTCCTCCTCCAGGTACCACATCGGTTCGGTGCTGGTGTAGTCAAATTCAGTGGCTGTGCAACCCACACCAGGAACAGAGGAAACCACCAGAGCTCCTGACCTGTTTGATGTGCCATGAGGACGTGTTTCTTTGGGCAAGGCAAGGAAAAGATATTGGAGTGCTACAGAAATAATCAAGGAAATCCCAACAGTGCAGGACTTTGCACCCACTTCCACCCGCCTGCAGGTCAGTATTTTGTGCTGCTATAATTTCTTCTCTGCTTTTAGCACGTGTTGTCAATTGGTTTGTAACAACTTAATCACACTGCTGCAAGTATGGACAGTTTTGTGTTTATTTGGGTTTTTTTTTCCCATAAGGAATATCACCACCACAGACACCTACTGAGATGAGGACCCATCACATCCCAGTGTCCAGCTGGCCGTGGTGCTGTCCCATCAGCAAAACCTTGCTCCCAGTAAGACCCGTTACACAGAAATGTGGCAGATAAAGGCAAGAAGGCAAAATCTAAAGAGAAATTACAATAATATCTATAAAGATTTTGGTTTTGTCCTTCTTCTGCAGAAGCTTTCTGTAGTGTGACGTGTACTGATGCTACCACAGCCTTCATGTGCATCACCAAAATACTCTATTTGGAACAGTTCAGCCTTGCTTTCTCACCTCTGCTCCTAACTGGCACATTATAAGAGCACAGTTTTTAGTCCCATAGAAGAGACCACTTCCTCATCAGCATCTATGTCATACTCCAACTTATTTTATCCAGAAGTAATGAAGCAGTCTTAACAAATGCACCACAGGCGAGTTGAACTCCAGCCATGCCAGATTTCAGTGTAAGAAACAACCAGAAAAAGAGGCAAAGTTGTAATCAAACAACTCCTGGATTTTTGCCATATCACTTAAATAAAAAGGCCGACACAAACACGTGTGTGACACAGCTCGATTTTCTGAAAGCATTGCATTCATTGGAGTGGATTTCTGACTTTCTATTAAGCTCAAGTTCAGACTTATGCGACGAAGCCGTTCTCCAAGTAGCCACATCATAAGTACTTGGAATAACGCACCATGGACTTCCAGCACCCTGAAATGGTTAACACTGCCAATACTCTGAAATGGTTAATTTTGTTGACACCCTGTAAGGGTTCGTTTTGGCCCAGGGAAGGCCGGGTGCTGCAGAGCAGTGCCATCCTGCAGACAACAGCCGAGAGAGACGCTCATTTGCTGCATTGCAGCACAGGAACTGCAGCACTGGGAGCTTGCACAGCCTTTGCCACATCTGCAAAAAGCACAGATCTCTAAGAGTGAGAAATCCAGCAGTGCCTCTGCGCCGGGTTTTCGTGACATGGAGACAGGCACATACACTTCTCGTGTACGCATTATCCCTTTGGTTTTAGAAACATAATGAAGTAACACAACTGGTGTGTGCGAGCAGGCAGCTCTACAGCTGGGATGGGCAGTAGCGAGACTCAACCATTGGCTCATCTCTGCACTAAATACTTTAGGAGAACACAAGGTAGTTAAAGACATTAAAGGCAATTGTACGCGCTGACACATAGGGGTTTCTCCTACCTTCTCCTTTTGCTGAGCTCTGCGGATCGTTTCCTGCTCTTTCTGCAGCCTCTCTGCCTCATCCTCCTGCTCCTTTCTCCTGGCAGCCACAGCAGCCTCCAGTTGCGCAGCCTCCTCCTGCCGCGCTCGCCATTGCAGAACCTGGAAGGAAGGGTTGAGGGGAGCCCTGCAGCCCACGTGTGGCACTGCGAGGCTGCGACCGGGGAGGAAACCCGCCACATTCATGGACAAACAGATTTACAGTCTTACCAGCAGCACACAGGCATTCAAGCACCACCTTTCCACACGTTAATGTGCGATTCCCAACTGACGGGCATAATGTGCAATAAGATCACATAGGAAAAGATTTTAGGAAAAATTGCCAAAGCCATCCCAGTAACATCAGATCCTAAATTCCCCTTCAGCACCTCGCTAACATGTACATTTCTTAAAGAATGGAGCCCAACGCTAACAGCCCAGGGTTCGCTCGCATCCTCCAAATCAGGTATTCCTGCAACAGCTCTTCCTTTGCAGCCAGGACTCCGTCTCAGTGACAGGAACTTCACCTCTTTTAGCTTTCAAACAGTGCAAAATCAGCCTGGGATCCCTGCCGCCTGCTCAAGGGCCATGACCAGAGCCCATGATAGTCCTGTATCCTCGACATCCCACTCTTCATGGAAAAAAGACATCAGGGGCGGCACAGCAGCTTCCCAGGGCAGGACCAGCTCCACGGCACCGCTCGCTGCAGGCCCTGCCGCGCTTCACCAGACGTGGGGACGGGATGGATCCCTTAGCCCACCGCGCCAAAAAGCCACTCGTGACACGTTCCTGCCACACCGCATTGGTCGGACAAGACAGCGTGTCCTCAGTGCCGCCGTGGGCAGCGGTGATTTTCAGCGTCCTGGCGTACGCTGCGTTGTCAGCGCGGGTCCCGATTCACCGCGGTGCTGTCGGGCGCGTTGTGCGCTCGTCTGTTCTGCGCTGCCTTCAACCGGATTAACCATGTCTGCTCTTTGTTGGCTTGCCAGCTCCTTTTGCAATGCATTTGTCAAGTGCCAGCAGAGCTCTCTATTCCCCAAAGGAACAAGCTGTTTTTCATCTGGTTTTCTATACTACAGTAAGTAGTTTAATACTAAGTTATTAAAATACTTACAATTATTTCCACCGTAGCTGCACTTCACTGGCTGTGCACAGACTGTTCATTCCTCTGCTCCGTGCTTTCGAAAGGAACAACAACAAAGCAGTGTGGGGGAGAAACCCCCTGGTCACTCGTGCTGGGGGTGATGCCCCCTCCCTAGGCCATGCACTGCTCTGGGATGGGCTGTGAGAGGTGACGGACCGGGACGCTGCAGCACTGCCTTGGAGTGCCTGGCCCTTGTGAGCTCACATGAAGTGAGCTCAGGCTACCGCTGCCCCTCCCATGTTTAAATACCCCATGGCTCTTCATTAAGCTAAAAGAGGAGGCACTTCCTTTAAAAAAATATTGGTAATCGCAACAAAAAGGGAAAACCTGGTAAAAACCAGAGAAGCACTATTAACAAGGTATGCCTGCAATGCGATTCAGTAGGTTGGCATCACGCCGTGTCGTGCCCACGTGAAGAGTTAAACTCACACCGGGTAAAATGTTCTTAACAGAGCTGAGATAAACTAAAGTTATTATGGAAAAAACACCGAAAATTAGGAATTAAACAGCTGATTCGAATGTCAATATAGTTCACTCTTTAAACCACGTTCAACCACTAAAACCTCTCTCTTATAATGCATTTCCATACTTTTAATAGTTTGCTGATTAAATCTGACTATCCAGTGCTGAATTTCCACTCCTACAATTTAAGCTTTTCAATAAAACACCCCGTGTTCATCAGCTTTTCCCTCCAGAGGCAATATCATGCAGATATGAAGAACAAAAAACCCCCAAGAACCATATCCTGGACAATAATTCTGATTCACCAAGGCCGTAACCTGGGACCGCAGAATGCGCCAAAAAAATTACTGCGCTCTTGATTGCCTTCTTTTGTTCTTATGCACGCAAAGCCAGAAGGGTAGAGTTTACAGTGTCAACAGTCAGTGTTCTGTTTAAATACTGGAAAAATTCCTAGTCGTTAAACTAATATTGAAAATACACTGAAAACTGGATCCCCCATCGCCTGTTTCACCGAGGAGCTTTCGTTTTAGCACCACCAGCACTGCCAACATTAAGTTCTGAAAGTTTTTAATTACAACTGGCATTTCAAGTACATTTCACAGTTCGTGTATTATTAGAGGAGCTTTTGCCAAGTGAATTATTAAATTGCTGTGCCGAACAGCATGCGTACATACCTATTTTCAGTTCGTTATTTCAATATTGCGTATTACAATAACGTAAAGTACGCTACAAACTAATTAAAGTAATAAATTACTTCTTTCACGCTAACATCTGAACAGCACTAATGTATTTACCATGTACTTAATGCTACAGATACATCTCTTTTAACGACAAAACCATTTCTGGGAGACCGTCCCTGGGAATTCCCATTAAACCAGCACAGGGCACACAGCGCCGTGCGAGGTTTTCCCTTTACACGCACAGATTGACTCTGTCACCAGCTCCAGAGCGGCCCGGGGTGACACCTGAGCTGCACCCAGGTACAGGGGACACAGCAGGGGCGCAGGGAGCAGTGCTGGCTGTGGAAACCGGGGCAGAAACACATCATAAATCAAAGTAAAGTGACCGGCGTCACAGAATGGCTGCCCAGTGCTCCGGATCTGCGTTCACACAGACAGCATCAGCCAGAGCTCACATGGCAGCAGGAAGCCCCAATAGTCGTGATACCATCAGCAGTTTGTGAGGCATGCAAGGAAAATCCTCTGACATCCCCACCCCGATTCTCCCCAGCTCACTCTTTCAATCCCAATGCACTTTCTGAGCTTTACTACTCTCTGAAACATTTCTGCACACCTTCCCTCATTTTTGCTCTGGTTTGCAGGTTTATTTCTTCCTCGAGCTGTTCACAACTGATTCTATGAATGCTTGGGGAAAAAAATTTAGAGGGTCTCTTCAAGAAAAGCAAGTTTCCAAAGGAAGATGCTACACAGCAAGAGAAGCACTGCAAGGTCTGGATGAGTAAGTTGAGGGAGCAAGTAACTGCGAGCTGTTCCATGGTGCTGTCACCAGGCAGCCAAAACCAACAGCAGCTGCAGCAACAGGGCTACGTGGTCAGAGATGCTGCTCTGTGATCACAAGATAACTGAGGTTCAGACACCATTGAAAGGAATTCAATATGAAAAACCCCTAAGCATGAAACAAGGACTCACAGAGCACACTGACATGGATTTATCCCACAGTTCACACTGGCGGTTCTGCAGAGCGGGAAGGAAACCCCAGCAAGTGGCACATGGAGCTGGGACAGCACAGACTGTCTGGGCTCAGGGTTGTGCTTGCATCTGCACCAAAAATCGGTATAAATGACAATGAAATTCCTGTTGCGTGGCAAGGATCCTTGATAGGCTGCTGGAGGTACCCGTGAATACAGAGTTCAGCAGCTTTTTGGCTTGTCCACGACACAAGCTCTGGATGGGACCAGCATCAACCTGCTTGGGACCCCATTTTTCCTTCATGTGTTTAAGACAAGAGCTGCAGCCTCAGAACAAGTCTGTGACCCAAGGAACTGTGCTTACAGAGAAAAGGCCGTTTTAGAGCTATGCATTTCTAGTGTGTCCTAAAAAGCAGAATCAAGCGAGACAGATGTAAAAGGTGATTCAGTGATTAGAAGTTATGGGCTAAAGGAATTACAGGATTGCAACACCAGTAAGGAGATCCTTCTCACTTCAGTTCCTAATGGACACATCACCCAATCAATGAGGATGATTTAATAAACTTGGCAACTTCTTATTTCCCCGCACAAGAGAAGGTCGTTACTTTTTATCTGCTATAGAACAGGCCAAAGAGCACAGTCAGACTGAGATCACCACAAGATTAACATGGAAAACTCATTAAAAGGTGACTTTCATTACCAGCAGCGCAGCCTCTCCACTTGCAATACAGCTCGGTCGTTAATACTTCAGATAAAAGCAGTGTGAGCTGATCTATGGCTCTTGCCTGAGCAACCCCATCCTTCCTAAGGTGGGGAAATGAAAGGCTTTTCAAAAGAGGGGGGAAGGACGTGTAGAGGAAAATAAAAATCTAAAGACCTAGCGTCCCATAGAAGAGCACAGATTCACCCTGATAATTTCTATTAACGTTGATAGAAGTTAAGCACATCAATTCCACTTGGGTTAATGGGATAGTAAATCCCTTAGACTTAAACATCGTATAAATGGAACCGGAAAATAGAAGCCAGAAAACTAAAACTCTTTCAAAAGTCACTAATTATAGAGAAGTGTCTAATCAATGACTACTGAGAAGTAGTGCACTCAATTTAAAAAAGAAAAGACGTGTTTTCAAACTTGCTTGCGTTAACCCCGATTTCTCCTCACAAACCCTACTTTGACCACTCAAGCTTTGACTTCTCAGACTCAGACTTTCTGCCAGGGACAAGAGACAAGGAAATGGATGCAGGTTGTGAAGCACTCGGGATCAGTGCAGCTCTTCCCAAATATGTGAGCCCCCCACACCTGCACAGCCACCCTGGTGCTCTTGGGAGGCCACGTCTGGATGTGCTCCTTGGAAGGGGCCTGGGCACGCATGGGAAGGGTGAAATTTGGGAAACATGGGGGCTGCTGGTAGCACACCCTGTGCAGGACCCACTGGGAGCAGATTGACCTGGCGCAGGGGGCATGGCATGGATTTCGGTATTTCCAGTGAACGACTCATTTGCCAGGACTTTGGAACTCGCAGCAAATTCTGCCCCAGCAAAGCTGCCATCTCCAAGGAAACTGGGATGTTTAATAGACCTGCTACTGATGAGTAACTGCATCGACTGAAAATAAAATGTAACACTTGCACTAATCAAACACATTGAAACATGAAATATTAACAGTGTTATTCTTGAAAATAAAATAAGAATTGAAAGTCTATGCGTATATTCCTAAATGGAAAGATAATGAGTCTGGTGCCTCAGGGTGTGAGTACTAGAGCTTATAAAGAAAAAGGAAAATTAAAATGTGTATTAAGAGCAGTTCCCTGGAGTCTAAAATATTACAGGGCAGGGGAGACTTTGTCAAAACAACGTGAAAAAGACAATTTTTCAGATTTAGAAAGTCCTTTTTCGCAAGCACCATACAAATTGCCTTCCTTTTCCTGTGTGTCAGTCACCTTATGGGCTGATGTGAGCGTTTGCAATTGCCAACGTGTCAGTTACGAGTTTACAGAGGCAGAAGCTCAGAGTTACAAGGGGATCCATACTAAATACCGTGATCAGGCAGCAATATTTAGCAAACCATTGCCGTCTGCAGGTGGTGGTGGTGGCAGCCCAGAGCAACAGGGGTCACTCAGCAAACCAGCACTGTCCCTGGGGACATGGTGTGGCTCTGGTGCCACGCAAAGAACTCGTCTGTGTTACTTGTGCACAGCGTGCAGCAGCTCCTGAGAGCGCACAGTGAATGCACGACGTTATCTGTGGCACCAGCAGGGACTGACACCACCAGGTACATCAACAGCAAACCACAGGAGACGCCTCAGGCTGGGGCTCCATGTGCTCCTCTGCATGGAGATGCTACTCTACAGCATCCTGCAACAGCACAGACTTCCTGAACGAGTGTCTGCATGTAAAGTTCAGGTCATTAGAAGTTCCTTGTATTTCTCCTGTCCAATGGTCGGGTCACCTCAGTGGTGAATAGATGATGCTTCTGAAAAAGGAAACTCCTCTTTTAAATATACCACTATTTAAATATTTCTTTTTTATATGGTCAGATTATAGTCACAGCACTAGATTTGACACCCATCCAGACACGGCTTTGGGTTTTGCTCATTAGGTTATAATATCTCAGTGTTGATCTGCTATGGCAGTCGCACCATTCAGAGCAGCGATGTGACTACATGCTGAGCACAGAGATACAGCTTTTCTCCCCGAGGTTACCCGCACATCCTCACTTCTCATTATGCAGCAAGGGAGAAGGACAGCGACCTGCAAGACGCTTTGTATGGTTTGCAATATCCCAGTTAATTCCACCTAACTCTCCTCCTCCTGAAATTAATTTACAATGGTTTCTGCCAGGAAAAGGGATACAAAGGTTGCTCTCCAAAAATTCACAACACATTCCAAAAGACTTCAGCACTGGAGTGGGTTCGATCCTGGAGCACAAGAAGAACCAGAAGAGATTCTGGGGCAGGCAGGCACACGGTTTTATGCCAAGGAAGGAAAATACCACCCCATACACCATGCACAGGAGATGTAGCTGTCCTCCTCTCTGCTCCTGTAGGCCCTCCCTGGAGAGCCCTTTTAAAACTGTTTCCTATGAAGACGGAAAGTACTGGATTATAAACATTTTAAGATATATTTAGAATTTCAGTCAAGTGTCTGCATGTGTTCAAAGCGTGCTTTTCTGTGGAATGCACTACAGCGAGTACTTCAACCCCGCAAACACCAGCGGTGAGGCAGCACCCCATCACCCTCTGAAGTAATGAAGTGAGAGCACGGTCCTTCAGCTGCCTTGTGACACAGGATAATTCACTTCTCTGCTGTTCAGAAAGAGGAATTTTACACAGAAAGACACAGTTTTTTCACAGCATCCACTACAGACCCCAAAAGTGGTTAAAGAATAAAGCACACTATGGTTCTGTACCAAATCACTCATGGAAAGTGTAACTCCCCTGTGGTTCTGCTTGTTCTCCACAGCACACGGGTGTTAGAGACGCGTACCAGAAACATCTCCTCTTTAAGAGCGTTCAGGATACCCTCACCAGCATCGCCCATTTCACACCCTGTTTCACTCAATGACTGCCATATGTCCTCTGATTTATTTCACCTGAGCTTCTCGAGTTGTTCCCAAATTCCTCCTCAGAGACTGATTCCCGTTAAAGGACAGGCATTGATCTTCCGCGAGACGGAACATGGGATAAGGCTTTGAAGGTCCTTTCCCCAGGTAAAAGCTGCTCTGAACATTAACTCAACTTCTCTGCAGCTTCACTTTTTAGTTGTCACCACCTCTTGTCAGTCACAAGGCCCTGTGTCGCTTCTTGTGCATTTAAAACAGATTTAAAGCAGGCATTCTTTAGTCTGTCTGCTACGCCTTTGGTTTGCTGTTGACAGATGAAAAGAACCCTGTAGAAGTTCGCTGATATCCTGTGGTTACTGCAGTAATAAGAAAATGCACAGCCTGTCACATACGAATGTTTCCTTTCTCTTTGGCATTGCTCAATCTGTACTACGATTGGGAACAAACTGATTGCCGCACACAGAGAAAGAAGAACCCTTTTAAAAACCCCACAAACCCAGAGCAGCATAGAAATCCACAGGAAGATATCCCTTTTAAATGCGTTACTGACTGGAAGTCAAATGAAAGGTGTCATATTCAGAGTCGAGCCCTCTCCCTCTCTGATTAACGGCTGCTCAAACGATCTGTTTTTATTTTAATGTGTCTCTGCATATTCTGTCTGCAAAATGGATCTGACGATGCTGATCTGATGAACTGCGTACGTGTCTTATGGCGTGTGTCGTAACTTCATTTACAGCTGATGCAGACGGGCAGACAAACCCTGTTGGTGCAAGGAAGGAGACCCGCGTCTCACTCAGGACGCACACCCAGAGCCTACAGCGACCACGTCTTTCCCTCTGGCAAAGTGACACAAGATCTCCTTACGCTGAACTTACTGACATGCTAAGCCTTGTCAATTAATGGCCCAGTGTCTTAACTTCTTTTCCAGCCGATGCAGACGGGCAGACAAACCCTGTTGGTGCAAGGAAGGAGACCCGCGTCTCACTCAGGACGCACACCCAGAGCCTACAGCGACCATGTCCTTCCCTCTGGCAAAGCGACACAAGTAAGATCTCCTTACGCTGAACATACTGACATGCTAAACCTTGTCAATAAATGGCCCAGAAGGGGGAGAACAGCCCCAGTCCCTGGTTTCCAGCCCTGCGCTCGCTCCCTTACAAACAGATTCGGGTTTTGCTCCTCGCCAGGCTGGGTTTTATCGCTGCACATTAACTCCGTGCACAGAGCAGTGGTTTCCGCAGCGCCACATTCTGAGCTGCGCACTTCAGCAGCGCAGAGAGAAGCCTGCAGAATTCACTACAACGGGGCAAAGTACGAGGTTTCAAATCAGGTACCCATCAGATCCAAACAAAACCATGGATACCGGCTGAATGATTTCTTTGAAAGGCAGCTACCTCCTCGCCCAGTTTCAGCTTCCGTCCCCTCGCCCTTGCAGCCGCAGAGCTGATCAAAACAAGGTCAGGGGGATATCCTGCTTTAGTGAACAAAATGTACCTTTTTCATCCCTCTTTGCTGGGAAACAGGTGAATTGTTTTCGTTCAATCGCTCCCCGTTTTAACAAAGCCACCTTTGAAAAGCGCAGGCCTAATGGGGCTCGGTTCAAACAGCTCCAGGTTACTGGAAGCGGGAGGTCAGAACCCAAACAACTTTCAGACGACGCTCAATGCATCAGTGAGAACCTTAAGCTGCGTGCAGACAATACGAGTACTGCAATGCCTGCTTTGTGGGGAAGGAAAGACATAAGGAAAAAACCCCAGACTGACTCAAATTCACAGCTCTGGCAGAAATGGCCGCTCTACCTCTGTCTGGAGACACAGCAATTCCAGAAAGGGATGCTTAGATTAAAGCAAACAAATAAAGAGACCCCAAATGACCCCCAGCTCTGTTGAACCACTCCATACCCCAGTGGGCTCCTGGCAGCCGCCCCAGAGGCCACATTGGTGTGACCGCCTCAGCCAGACCCCAGCCAGACCCCAGCCCCGGTGTTCAGATCCAAACCTGCCCATGACCGACAGCTTCACAACAAGAGACAGAAGAGGCTGGAGCTGTTCCTACAGTGAAAAACCCACACCCAAAATCCTGATCACAGGAGAGACTTCATTGTACTTTTCTACTTGTGGAAAAGCAAAATCAAGTGTTCAGGTTTACGCCAAAAAGTAAAGGTTCAGAAGAGACAACGTTGGTAAAGTGAGAATATTCACCCTGTATGCTTGCAGATGGCAACCTCTGTGCAAGTGGAAAATGAGAGCAGTTTAAACAAATCTTAACATGCCCAGAAATGCGATTCCCCTTACAAACGCCTTAGGCATCAACATCATCACCCTTTCCTCTCGTGGCCAGGCTCCTCCCATTTTATTCTACTCTCTTACCAAAAAAACCCAGGTATTTTTCACCTCTTAACACAGTAGATCACCTTTCAGAACATTGCAAAATCTCTGTAACACAGGCAAACAAGTTATGGGATCAATTTTTTCAGGTCTTAGAAATAAGCAGAAGGGAAGCTAGTTATTCATTATTTCTCTGAAAACAGATGAGCACTAATCTAAAAATCTGGTGGCAGTGATGCTGAGTGGAGCACTGTGCTTCCACCTCCGAGGAGTCCAGTGTTAAAAGCAGTTATGAACTAAGCTTCAGCCAGTACAGATGTCAAAGACACAGAAACACACACAGATTTTGTGATTTCCAGTGTCACAAACAAACCCAAGGAACGTGATGCCAGCCCTTTCCTCCTGCCGCTTGCTTACAGCCTCTCACACTGTGAGCTGCAGAACGGATCCTGTCCTTCCAGTGCTGAAATGCAGCTCTAACTCTCTGATGGCACTCAAAATCCACCAAAATGGTCGTGACTGCAGTTTATACAGAGATCACACCCACCAGGATGAAACTCACACCAAGGTCTGAGGTTTGCTAGGCAACCAAAGTCTAGGTCAAAAAAAGACAAACTAAGCTCACAAGCACTCCCAGGCATCCTTACCAGTAATGAAACAGCATCTTCAAACCACCTGCAAGTCGAGCTCCACAAGCACTGATCTCTGCCAACACATTACAGGCTGCTTTTTATCCCCTAACTGCCCCAAACAACTCAGCCAAGCCACTAAACTCAGCACTATGACAACCCGCTTCAGTGAGTTTTCCTTCACTTGAACACTGCTGCTGCATTCTGAATTTCCCAGTAAAGGGCAGGTTTTTAGGTGGTAGATTTGTAACTGGACCTACCTTGGCTTTCAGGTCAGCACAGATCTGCTGCTGCCTTTGCCTGCTCTCAGCCAGCGCCACTTCTGCCTCGTGGGCTGCAGAGGCCTCGGCCACCGCCGCCGCTGCCCTCAGTAAAAAACCCTTCCTGGCTTCAGCCCAATGTAACATCAGGACTCTGTGCTGGCTCCTGATGAAGTTGTGACGACTCCAAGCCTCCTCATGAGCAACCTGAAAAGTAAAGCAGTTCAGACAGGTTGGAAAACTACGCTTTAATAAAAGAGAATAACTGAAGACATATTTGCAAATCTTGTGTATAATTGATTTAATTCTTATATCACAAATATTCCCATGGAATCCACATCTTAGGGCCCAGAAGTGTTGTCATGTGTCAGGTACACCACAGTCCCCCAATGCCGCTGCTCCTGCCTCTCCCTGCCCGTACCGCAGGGCACTTCACATCCCCACATCCCGCTGGTCTTTCCTGAACTACACTTTTGCAATATGGATAAATTAAATGCAACGGTTCCTGCCTGCTCTCAGTGGTACCACTGCCCCTGGAGCTGTCCCTGTCAGCTCACAGCTGGATGGGGATGAAGCGGTACCACTGCCAGTGCTCATCCACTGATCCCTTCTCTGGAGGGAAGAAGGTACGGAAGTCTTTATGTTTAGGATTGCAATGTAACACCAATGTTTTAAGAGTAGATTCTTAGTCCTGTTTTAACATTTCTGTATTTGTCATGCTAATATACATACTAAGAGAGATCAAATCAATGCAGAATTATGACTTTTAAATTTTTGACTTCTTAAATTTTAAATGACCCTTCAAAGAATTAGGGAGACCCATTAATAACAGCTACCCTTAAAATGCACCTCCGCTGTACAGAGCAGGTAATTATGTAGCCCAGCTCTCACAGGCACGAGTTCTGAAAGCAGAGCTCTGGTGACACCGTGTTAATTGTCAGCACCACTTCACTGCCCTCCTTTGCACCAGGCGCTCCTCAAGCACAAGGAAGTAGATGGACTAAAAATACACAGCGAGATAAAAAAAGGCTCCTACTTCTCTTATGACATCCTGAAGTGTTCTGGCCTTGAAATGGGTTTCTCTATTAGCTGCTACGTGCTTATTCACTGCGGAGCGTAAAAGGAGGCAGCAATCAATTTGAAAGGCATTATGCATATAAAAATAGCCTCTCCCTGAGAGCGGGAGATAACTTTCCTCTCTTTCTGCTATATATGTGCCACAGACCAATTAAAATAACTATTCCTAGACAGTGCAACGATGCTGCGCCTCCTCATAAAAAACAAAAACACCAAGAGAGGCAGAGTAGCGTGACATAACTATAAAACTGTACAGCACAAGCAGTGCTAACAAACTAATTTTGTGAATTTGGCCGTAGGAGCGTGTGGAACTATAACATCTCCAGAGTGCTTATCTTGAAGAAGTGATGGGTTTTCAGGCTCGTGCATTTTGAAGACAGGGACACCCCTTCTTAGCTGTGCAGAATAAAATTTACAAGTAAGAAATTTTAAAATAAAAAAAACTTCGACAAACACGCTTTAATTCAAATGTTCACTACGTGATTTATGTCGGGATCTATATAATTGATGCAATATTCCGAACAACACTGACCAGATCGTGCCTAGACTTGTGAGGAAGGTACCTCTGCAGCGCATCCAGGTACAAAGTCCTTCTCCTGGGAAGATCCCGTGGGTACTGACGGAGAACAGCTTCAAAAACCCACTGATCTTCTTCCTTCCACTCAGTGCTCCTACAGAAATGCAAAACAATCAGCCCCTATAACTCAACATTGGACAAGGAGTTGGGTTCCTGTTTATTTTCAAAGGCCTAACCTTGCAGTGGGCTCACAGCCCTGAGCCTGTAAATGGGACGCTGGATCAGAGCTGAGAAATTCAGATTTACTGTAACAAAACAAAGCAAACCCATATTGCTTTTCTAACGTGACCATTTATCGTGCCATCATTCCAGTGAATTGCTATTTTTCTAACCTGGGAAACAGCGCTGTGCTTCTCAGATGTGTTACATTAATGAACAGTCACACCACGCAGAAAACGCAACGTGGAAAGGGAAGACGAGCAGCCTGTACCAGCAAAATGAAATGAATGAAGTGACAACAGCTCCATGCAGCTGAATGAGGAAATAGTTTAAAAACCAACTCCTGGCAGCCATAAACAAGGCATGAGATTCCCAATTTTCAAAACAGCAGTGTAGGAATCAAAGTGTGTGATGTGTCGCAGAAAATCAGAGTACCGAGAAGTAACACAAAGCTAACCCAGAGCACCCAGGTTTGGCTTTAGCAGCTCAGCTTTTACCCTCAGCCTGAACTCCTGCCCTTGCAGGGATTAACATCGGGGTTTTATTGCCGGCGTTAAGGACAGCAGCGCCAGCGTGGCAGAGCAAAGGGCTCGCCACCCCAGGGCCTGCTCTCACTGACCGAAGGCTCAGGGAGAATTAAAGGCAGGCACCCATAGGGCTCTGCTGCCCCAAATTCCTGCAGCCTCCACCACAGGCAGCCCTCAGAGGTCCTGAGCCTGCAGTGGGGTCTTGCTATTTGACAGCACCGCATCACCCAGGGCTCACAGCTCCACCTTACGCAGACAGACGTATCCTGTGTTTAAAAAAGAGGATTTTTGGCGAGATGCTCGTATGTAATTAATACTACACTATATTTATTACGTGATCCAGCGTAATCTCTAAAGAGAAGAGTGAATATAACTATTAAAATATATGTAATCCAGTTTAACACAACTTTTCTTTACAAAAACATCGTGCAGTAAAAGCACAGCATATCATCACCACTGTATAATGTGCTGGGACACCAACGCAGGAAACAAGACAGTTACTTCTAAGAGATGGAAAGCTTCCCCCACAGCCACATCTCAAAACACAGAGACACAACATCCCATCCCCACATCCCCCAGGGATGGGAGCCCCATCTCCGGATACACGATGCACCTCTTTTCCTCCCTACCAGCACCTTGTGCTGCTGCTGCAGGCTTTGCTGTGAAGGCAGCACAAATGTGGGCAGAGTTCCACTTCACAGCCTAAAGGCCTCTGTTTTACAGTTTTCTCCAGGCAGACTAATGGGCTTTATTTTCACCTCCATGGTCTTAAGAGGGATTTAACCTTCACCCATCTTTCTGGAGACAGCGAGAGATCAGAGGCTCTTTCAACTCTTCATCCTCTGACTGAAGTGATCCTTTGCTTACTGTGCCATTCGTAATGGTTACTCCAGGATCAGAACTGTGGTAACTTAATGATAACAAATAGGAGGAACCATTAAAATCACTATTCTCTAGTACTGAGCACCTTGTTTCTTGCGCTCTGTGTACTTTGTATTTTGTTTTTCTTTGAATAAATGTCACAAGTTACTCTGGCCTTTTTGCAGACAGCATCACCATGAAGATGGCCAGGTAAGGGGAAATCACATCCTTCAGGCAATTCCAATGACGTTATCGTGGCCCTTAGTGCTATAAATGTACCAAAAGACAGAGCTCTGCAGTAATGATGTCTGTATTGCACACAGAGATTCCAGGCAGGAAAGGGGTTTTTTTGCAGGAAAATATGAAGGAAAAATATAAAGGAAAATAACTCTGAGCTGGCCCTCTGTGGTAGCGCTTTTGAGTATCTTGTCGGCTTATCAGCAGAGTAAAATGAAAGCAACACACAGAAAATTAACTTCTACAAGCTCACATGAGATAGATCTATATTATTCAGACTTTCCACCTATTTTCCTTTCTCTCCTTATAAACAGTGTGAAATATCTGACAAACTATTCCTGGGGCCCAGCTGTTTGCTGTTAAACCAGCCGTCATGAAAAGAAATGGAGGTGGCTTCGAGACAGCAGAGCAAAGAGGTAGCTCCTGTAGAGCTGATTTGCAGCGACTGACAACTACCAGGCAAACGCTGGAGACAACATAAAATGTGAAATTACACGGGCAAAGGCAGAATAGCAATGTGAGTGTTTCTTTATAGGTGATTGCTTCAATTTCCCATGGCAGACAATGAATACAGATGTCTGAGCTGAGGGTTTTTTCATATGCTAAAGAAGAAACAGTGCCTGGGAAAGCGAAACCGGGCTGAGGAACCCTTCAGCAAGGGCACAGCTGCAGGAATATCCCATGGCCTTGAGCTGCAGCAACATCCCAGAGCCTTGAGCTGCAGCAACATCCCAGAGCCTTGGAGCTGCAGCAACATCCCAGAGCCTTGGAGCTGCAGCAACATCCCATGGCCTTGAGCTGCAGCAACATCCCAGAGCCTTGGAGCTGCAGGAACATCCCAGAGCCTTGGAGCTGCAGGAACATCCCAGAGTCTTGGGGAGCTGCAGGAACATCCCACGGCCTTGAGCTGCAGCAACAGCCCAGAGCCTTGGAGCTGCAGGAACATCCCAGAGCCTTGGAGCTGCAGGAACATCCCAGAGTCTTGGAGCTGCAGTTCTCCAACTGCAGACACAGCTGTGCAGAGTCCCCAGGCTCTGACACCAGTGGCACTGCAAAGATGTGTAATTTTTGCAGTATTTACTGCCTCTGAGAAAAACGTCCTGCAACTGATCATTAGAAATTAATGTCCTAAACTCCTCCCTTCTCTCTAGAGGGAGATTTTCTATGAAATCAGTTCATTTATTAATGTTAAAATCTGTGTCATAGTTTGACATTCTGAGGTATAGGCTTTCTGAAGAATAACTTTAATGAACAAATTAATTCTTTGCTATGATTTAATCTCTTTCACTGCTACTGCTCCTACTGATGCTGAACTAAACGAGTACAAAAATATCTTTTTTCTTAAGATTACACCTAGCATTCTTGTCTTCCCAGCCCCAATATTTTATTTATTTGCTTATTACAGGAAGAACCATAAAACCGTGCTAGCCTTTACTCCAGCCATCCTAAGAGAGTGTTTACTACTTTACAGGTTGGATTTTGAACTACCTCTTATAATTTCTGACAGAAATAAGCAATCCTCTTCTGTAAGCCCTGGTGCACCTCGGTACGGTGCTGTTTGAACATGCTGTTTTAGTGATAGTAACGAGACACTTCTAGGAGCTGAGATTGCCTTTCACAGCAATCTACCTTGGATATTTCTGACCACACAGGTTTGTGAGCAAATCCAGGTCTGCTGTCTTCAAGAGGAGTAAGGCAGAGTAGGATATGTCTCGGTCAGGAAGCATCGCCCCATGAACAGGATAGCAGAGAAAGCCACACATGCTGTAGGTAAAACCCAGTCCAGCCCAGTGACCTCCTCTGTCCCAGCACACCAGGGCAGCAGCACCAGTTGCTGCACTGGTTTCTGCCTCCTGTATCTCACATCTCTTGAGGTCCCCTCTGACCTGTACATTCCCCTAACAACAGCTTTTCACACTCCTCAGGAGCATTATGGAGGTCTGTGGAAGATCACAGAATCACACAGAATATGAGGTGTTGGAAGGGACCTGGAAAGCTCCCC